CATAATAAATTTATTACATATAAGAAATATTCAAATATTTAAACATTTCCAAATAGTTTAATTTTATTTTGTCATTTACATTTTATTCTTATATGTCACGTCAATGAAAAAACTTTATTTTAATTAATGATACCATCTGTGTAGATAGTTTTATTGTTTTTTTTCGTGATTTAAAAATATTATCTAAAACTAAGAGACAAGACTAGATAATTGTAATTATAAGAAAAAAATGTTTACGATGTTTATGTTTTGTGTAAATTTAATATGGTAAAATTTTTTGTATGAAATTCGAAAAAGTAGATATGAATTTTTTGTTTTATGACGTATTTTGTTTGATATACTTCATTTGCTCTCTTATATATAAATTATTTAAACATTTGGTTTTATTATCTTTTAAATAATCTCATTATCTTTTATGAGATATACGCTATATTATTTAATAATAATAAAATTTTTTAAAACAAATCATATTTTATTTTGTATTTGAAATTTCAATTTTGCGATTAATTGATATATCGATTTAAATCGAAGATATTTAATATTGCGTATAATATCGATCGATAGTAATTAAATTCTTCGTAAGTTTTATCCATAGTAAGTTTCTTTCGTAAATAAATTGAAACTATGTCTGAAACTATTTCAATTTGTTTAATAATCAAAAGCAAAACTAACAAAATTTATTAACATTTTAAATTAATTTCGTATTATTATATAATTAAGTGTCTAGATTTCTTACGTAGTGTTTTGTTTATATTTAAAGTAAGGTTACATGATACTTCATAAACATAACCTTATTCTTCGATAGTTTAGCAAAAATATTAATTTTTATTTATAATTTCTTTTATTTTAGATAGAAGATTAGTATTAGTGTTATTATTGTTGTTAAATTTTTAAGTGCAGTTGACATTATAATCATAATTTATTCATGTGCATTTAATAGACATATTGAAGAAGAGAAAATTTATTTATTATATTCTAATTAATATTAAACCTTCAATAAAATGAAACCGTCAATTTTTAATGAGAATGAGTCGGTATTACTCCTAGGAGAAGGAAATTTTTCTTTTTCCGTAGCGTTGTGTCAACTTAACCTCAAAATAAATTTAATAGCTACGTGCTTCGAATCTGTTATATCTCACGAAACTGGAAAGAAAAACATAGAATACCTTAAAAGGCATGGTTAGTGAATAAACAATATATAATGTATAATAATTTATAAGATTTAAATTATTTAAAAAAAGAATGATAAAGCTCTATGTTTTTCTTTTCAGGCATTTGTGTATTGCTGGGGATAGATGCCACCAAATTAATGGAAAATCCTATTTTGAAAATTAAATCCTTTGATAAAGTTATATTTAATTTTCCTCATGTAGGTGGTAAAATGAGAATAGAAAAAAATCGAGAATTGTTAAGACAATTTTTCATTGAAATTGAAAAGTTAAATAATTCTAATGTAGAAGTATTAATAACTCTTTGTAATGGTCAAGGTGGAACTCCTATGGATAAACCTAAAAGAAATTGGAATGATTCATGGAAAGTTACAGAAATGGCAGCGCATGGGAATTTTATATTAACTAAGATAGAACCATTTTTATGGTCATATTTTCCTAGCTATGTAGTTACCGGCTATCGCAGTTTGGAAAAACAATTTCATACCACGCATGCATTAATTCATTTTTTTAAACGATCAGAGCCACCTAATTATCAAAATATGTCTCCAATAAAAAAACTTGATATTGTTTTATGCGATATAGATCATTTTTTTAAAAAAGATGTATATCATACACTAAACGAATCATCGGATTTAAAGATTTGGTGCATATATCCACCAGCATTTACATTTGATATAACTA